GAACTTGGGGTACGGGGGGTACTGCAGCACCCCCTGGCTTGAAGTGGTTTCTGTCCTATACAGGGTTTACAGTTTGGTTCAAAGGCTCTCAACACCTCTCTCAAAAATTGTTCTATCATCCCTGGCCACTGTCATCTGTGCATGCCACAACAGGGTTACCTCAGGACATAGTCCTGGAAACATAACAAAATCTTAAAAAGAAAAGTAGTACTTGTGGCACCTTAGAGAATTGGTTAGTCTCTAAGGTGCCACAAGTACTCCTTTTCTTTTTGCAAATGCACACGAACACGGCTGCTACTCTGAAACCTAACAAAATCTTACTGTCTTGGCCTCTGCGTTTCTAGTTTAGTGCTTTGGGGACACCTTGTGGCTGGAAGGAGCCACAGCAGAAATGGACATAGTTAAAACTTGGAGAGAGAGAAGGGAAAGGAGAGAAAAGTAGAGTGAAACGATGGTTGTGGGCAACTAATGCTTTTTCTGCATTGAGTGGGATGATGCTCCTAGACGAGTGATGACACCAGCCTTCAACTGTGAAACAGCCCAGATGGGTCTTGTAAAATTCTCCTGACTCAGTAGCCTAGGGCAAGCGGGGTTTTCTTTGATGGGAAGAAAAATAGCAACAAGGTGCACTGCTGCATTTTAGTCTGGACTTGATAGGTTTTCATGTTTAGTTTGCAGGGTGCCTTAAATAGAGGAGGTAGAGAAGCAGAGGCTGAGTGAATCTGGAATCTCATGAGATCCATCACAGGGGGAGTATTCCAGTGGTGAAACACAGACACTTTCATAGTATCTGGTCCTGGTGCTGGGGTTTCATTTGGATGGAAGCAGTGAAGAAATCTTGGTAATGTTCTCTCACCTGTGTTTGCTGTGGTTCTGTAGAAATGGGGGAAGCCACTGAGGCAGGAGGCTGAATTTAGGGGAAATGCACACAATCTGTTATTTAGGGTAGGTGTACACAACCCAGAAAGATGCTGCCCGCAGTGTAGTGCGTGACGTTAAAGAGGCCCTGCCTGGCCTCAAACCTGCCACTGTATAGCAGACAGGTTTCAAAACAAATGTACTGTTTGCTACTAATTACTCTCCCTAGGGCCAGATATTACTTTTTAAAAATGAGAAAAAGAGAGGCGGATGGGATGCTGCATATCTGGAACAAAAGGTGAGCCACATGGCTTGTGTGTCTTTAGTTGCACAAGAGTTTGTTCAGCACTGCTACTGCCAGAAAACGCTGTGCCTCTCCAATCTGTTATACTCTTAAGCATAATCACACAATAGTGGATAAAGGAGAACAGGTTGGAATAGTTTATTTGGGCACTCAAGGAGCCTTTGACAGTCCCTCACAAAAGCCTATTAAGGAAGTAAAGTAGTCATGGGATGACAAGAAAGTATGGTCATGTATTAAAAACTAAGTAATAGAGAACAGAGTAGGGATAAATGGCCAGTTTTCAACATAGCAGAGTGCCCAAGGATCTGCATTAGGACCATTATTATGATCTGGCAAAGAGAGTGAGCAAGGAGGTAGCAAGAAGTCCAGATAGCACAACTATTTGGGTTAGTCAAGACGAGAGAACAATGTGAAGAACACAGCATGAAAGCAGATGAAATTAATTGCTGACAAATGCAAAGTGATGCACACTACAAGGAATAATCTGAGCCATTCATGCACTTTGCTGGGATTTAAAATTAAGCGTCACTCAGAAAACAGAGCTGGTGAAGACCTCTGCTCAATGAGCAAATGAAAAAAAGCAAACAAACTGTTAAACGGATAAAATGGATGGGATAGAGACTCCTACTACAATTAGGTTAGAAGTGGCTCACCCTCACATGGAATACTGGGTTCAGTTCTGGTCACCCCATTTCTAGAAATCAGAAGTAACAGAAATAAAGGGAATTCTGAGAGAGGTACAAAAAATGTCTAGAAGCTTGCAGAGACTTCATAGATAGAGAGACAGAAGAGACTGATTGTTTAGTTTGGAAAGGGAACATGGCAGAGGAAAATACAAGCGACAGGTACAGAGAAGGTCAGGAGGTGCTCCTATTTATCTTCCCATTTTGCTAGGGGACAGTTAATGAAATAAGGCAATCTATTTAAAACCGATATAAAGACATCTCCCCTCAACCCCCCATATTTAATCCATGGAACTCATTGCCACAAGATCTCAAGGATACAAAAAAGGGTCAGACCCATGGATAATGAGAGCATCCTCAGTTACACTAGAGAGGGCAACAAAGATAAGGGATCTGAACCCTCATGCCTCCAATTTCTCAGAGTTGGGAAGAAATAATTGCCCAAAGCAGCATTTCTTTCTCTAAAGCAGCTAGTTCTGGCCACTGGGAAACAGCATGTAGGAGGAGATGGAGCTCTAGGCTAACACTGTGCAGCTGTTCTTTTGTTACTCTTAAAGGATAAAAAGTTGGCAAGGGCATACTGTCTTTTAACAGATAAACATTCCTGGCAATGACTGAGACATAGGGAGTAGCCCCTGAGGAACCGGGCAAGGCTCATGGGAAGCCCTGCTAACGACACTGATCCCAGATCTGGGCTGGGGAGATGCAGATCCTCTCTAGGTGCATTTATAGTGTGATGTTAATATAGTAGATGAGGCCAGCCTAGCAGCCTGGGGTGTAGCAATGACATAGTGGAGACGGCTCTTGCTCCAGATGACTGCTCAGCTCTCTGAAATCCTGATCATTTTCCTCCATGTCACTAAACTGGATTTATGGTGAAAAGGGAAACATGGATGTGGGCCTCTAGCAGGTCCCTTCGTGTCACTGTGGGCAGGAAGAAATCATCAGCCTCCAAGTCTGGTTCTCTTCAATGTACTATGATGCCACCCATCCACCACTCCCAGCTCTTATTTGCTCTGCCACTTAGGGACTGTGCACTTTCATGGGCCTGGCTCCAACTAGAGCAGGATTCCTCTCCTCAATGTCTGTTTAGCATCACTACAGCAGCTGCGGGAGAGAATATTCCCAGGAAGAGGCTGTAAACAGTTTCTGGCTAAACCTCAAAGTAAGGCCAAGGCTCCAGCCCCACCACTGCTATGCCCGTTGCTGCATGGGGAGATGGTGGGTGCCACAAACCCCAGACCAGAGCACCAGAGTGTAGGACTTGTGGCCATATGGGGTCGTGGCTGTTGCGTCTCTCGTTAACCCCCTTCCTTGTTCTGTCTCCAGAATTTTGCCAGCTCAACCCCAAAGTTGGCCCCTGTAGGGTAGTGTTCCCAAGAGATTTCTATAATTCTACGTTCAAGTCCTCTGATGATTATACGAGAGGCTACAAAGGTAACAGTAACAGCTTCATCCTGCTAGAGGAAAGTCTCCAGGCCAATGCAGGCTACTGAATGTGACCCAACCCCCCCTCCCCCGCATAAAACCCAACACTACGTGGCCAATCAGAACCTGCTTCCCGTGTAGAGCTAAATGAATCATTCATAACTTTGTTCTCTTTCTATGAATAAATTTTGGTCTGTAGCTGATTCTCCGACTATCACTGTGGAAATTCAAGATCAGTTACACATCAAGTGATACATTTCTGTTCCAACTGGACAAGAGCAACTCTTGGAATCAGGATCCAGGGTAAATCACCACAATTACACTTACATTTTCTTTCCACAAATATTCTCCAAGATTCCATTAAAATTCAGTTTTAGTAACACTCCAGATCAGTTATCTTACTCCTGGCAAGCGAACACCAAAGGAGTGAATCCAACCTCCAAGAAAACATATGGAAAACTTCAAAGTAGTATTTGGGAAAGCTTTTTCAGTACTTTGCCTTGGATAACAAATGCCAAAAACTGAAAGATGCACACATCTGCATTCACACGTTCACATGAGCTGTCTGTGCACAAATCAGATCATTGTACCTTTGCACCCATTTGGTCCTCATGCTCTGGGAGAGGTGCCCTTCTGCCAAATCTTTCAGCCCCTGGGGAACAGAGACCCTCCCCTCCTCCCCCCACCACCTCACTCCAGTTCTCCATGCTAAATGCAGTTCTCCATGCTAAGTGAAATATAATTAAATCTCATACTTCAGAACGTAAACTGATCCAAGCAGGGGTCAGGCAAGACTTATGGGAAAGGGACCGAGAGGCTTTTCCCATTGGACCATATGAACTGGAACCATAAACTCACTGAACATTAAATCCCACCAAATGAGGGTAGATCCATCCCCATCATCGTATCCACTCACTATACTCCACACCTGAACATAGCCATTATATGGGACAACATACCCCCATATCTCAATGTCTGTACTTTGACCGGTTAAACTTTTACCCCCAATCGGGGAGATTGCAGATTATGTATTCCTTACGCCACCCGTTCCTAAACCGAATTTCGCACCCCTTGATAATCTGTACCTTATTCCCTGATAACCAGAAACTTATGCCTAAACTCTGTACTGTTTTCTTTTTACTTCAACATTATCTTAATAAAATTATTATATCTATGAGGCAATGCTGCACATCAGCAAGGGACACGGTGAGGAATTGTTAGCTTCTCCTGAAGTCTCACTGACAGGCACTGACCACTGCTGCATGTGGGGCATACTCATGGCCTGGTTCAAAATGGCAAGCAGTGAGATACTGGAGTAGATAGGATCAGTGCTCTACTCAACTCTGTGCAATTCTTCAATTTTGTCTCCACACTCCCCTATGTTCACTCTCCAGCTGGACTTTGAGTTCCCTGCTTACTCCAGCCCCTGCAACTTTTATGCTGACCTACTCCCACAGTGTCACTACCAAGAAGGGTGGGCAACTGTTCACTTATGGTGGTTGCCAGGGCAACAAAAACAGATCTGCCATTCAAGTGGAACATTTCCAGGCAAGGGGTTAAGAGAGTACTTAACTGAGATGCCCAGCAACACAGCTGGCCCAGGAAAGGAGTCAGGAGTGTGAATGAGTGTCCCTACAGGGGCTGGGCTGACGTGGGAGGCTAAACCAGGAGACAGAAGAAGCTGGAACCCTCTGCCTTTCAGCTACAAAAAAAGAACAGCACAGGCCTACAGAACAGCTCAGATTTATTTCTGGTATCTTTTTACAGAACATAAATTACCCTTCCCCAGAAGAGGACTATCACACCTCTTTCCTGATCACTTGGCTCTGCACTTCCCTGTGATCATGGAGCTTTGGGACTACAATTCCCAGCAGCCTCTTAACTGGTGGAAGTTATCCCAGCCCTCTTGGCTTCAAGAGACAGAGGTACATGAGGCAGCAGGAGATAAGGCAGCAATGTTTTCCTGTCCTCTCTCAGTCTCCCTGCAAGCCCTGGCTGTAGCCCTCCCACTGAAGCCCACATTACATGCCCACTGCACTGGCTGCATTGGATTCTCTCAGAGGGGTGGAACCCCTCTGACTTTGCGGATGATGTTGGCCAGTCGCTTGGCCAGGCCTCCCCTGTTTGGCTCTTCTACATGGAAGGTTCTGGTCAGTAGGTTGTAGAAGGAGCCGTAGCACACAGCCACCACAGTGCAGGTCAGGCAGATGACGTTATATGGCATGCTGAAGTCAGGCGTTGGCAAGTTCACCAGCAGCGGCTCGGTGTACAGACGCACAAAGTAGCTGGAGCCATCGGAAGAAGGAAATCTGGAGATGGAGGGGGGGGGGGGGGAAGGAGAAGATCATCCCATGCAAAACATTCCAGCAGGATCCTTTCTAGTGTGATGGTGAGCAATGCTGCCCACCTGCTCTGACAGTCACACCAAAGGTGCACTAGTTACACCCCGCTGGGAACCTGGGCCCCACTTTCCAGCCAGCATTAGACACCCCTGCCTGGTCATCTCTGAAGACCCATCATGAACCTGAGCCCCTTGGGAGAAGCTGACAGCACCCGAGGGAAAAGCACACACAGGAGGAATATTCATTTGGGCACAGGACTATCCCAGACCAAGTGGAGGGCTTACAGGGGAAGCCACTCTACAAACTCTGCAGGTTCACATTGAAACTGTGGCTGCCCTGCATGAGAACAAGCACACAGAGATGGTTGTATGCGGCCTTCTCACTCCTCCCACTCCAGGAAGTGGCCATTCCCCTCACATGGGCTCCTAAGGGGTGGACTGTGTGGCTCAGATTCTGAACATGTCACTGAGAAGACTACTGAGTAACTCTACAGGGAACAGAGTGCTGGCACATGTAGATTAGCACCTACCATGTGTGAGACCCGTGTGCAGCAAGTGCCTAGGAATTGCAGCCCAAAACAAGCAACCCCTCCCTTTCCCCCATGGCCAGAGAAAAGATGCACTTACAGCGAAGTGAAGAGAGGACTCTGCTCTGCATCCTCTGCCTTCATTGCTATGACACTTGGCACCAGGGCACTCAGCACAGATGGACTAAGGAGACAAAAGCAGCAAGAGAGTCTGAAAGATGCAGTCTTCAGTCATGCTAGAAAACAAATGGCAAACAACACACACACCAGGAGCCCAGCGTTATGCACGGCATTGGGCCCAGAACCCGTGATGGGTCTAGAAAGGGAAAGCCCTGCAGAAGTCTGGCCCACAGTACGTAAGTTACCCCAAAGCAGGGGCACATGGCTTTACCTCACATAAAAGCCGTGGTTGGGGTCAGGGGTATACTCTGTCCACTTCAGTAAGGCTCTCTCGAACTGGATGGTGATCTTGGTGACAGAGTTTGCTGGGAGCTGGATCAACATCTCCAGCAGATGGGGCCGCCTTCGGTCCTTAGCCGGCTGGTAATGGATATAACCTAACACCAAAGACAGTCACTTGTCACCCTGCTGGGAACGTTCCCCACTAACACAGACAGCACTAATAGATACTGTTGCCTCCACCCTCCCCTACAAGAGAGGGCACAGGATGACACACACCTCACACAACCCTTCCCATATGGCTTCTGCTCTCCCCACTTAGAGCATGAGCTCCTCAGGGCAGGGACTGTGCTATGCTCTGTTCTGGACAGTCAGGGTTCAGCATGTAATTCACAGGGATAACATTAAACAGCAAAAGATGCTCAAGTTGACCAGTTCTCACTAACCCAAAACGACACACAAAGATCAACATGATTCTCATGTCAGAGAGAGGCTCTGTGATGAATACCCAGGATGCCCCTCCCCATCTACTCAGACACCACTGTAAGGGAAGAAGTTCTCATCCACCCCTGCTACAAATCACCACGGGGGATAATGGAACACCCAAAGACTGTTCTGTGTGTGTCCATTATCAGCCCAACCTCTTTACTCTTAAAGTGTAATGCTCATAAGAGCAAGGCTGTAACTGAACTGATATGTGCAAGTTTCCTGAACACACAACTCTGCTCAGACACCCCAATGCTGGCTTGCAGTTATTCCAGCCCCGGGACTCTCCTGAGCAGATGCTGCTGTTAGTGCTAAACTTGAGGGTGTGTTTCTGAAGTTAGCTTTCCACAATAGCACAGTGTATATAAGGAGCTCACACTGAATCCCTGGGAACCTGTGCAGGGACTGACTGGTCTCTGGAAAGAGACCCTGGGGCCAGGGGAGTCTGCACAGAGTGTATTCCTTACTTGGTTTGTTTTCCTTTCCCTTGGTGGTGATGACCAAAGTGTGAACGTAGAGTCTCAGGTACCAGGGCACGGTCTCCAGTAGTATCACAGGGAAAGCCCGGTATGGGTGGGTGTTATAAATCAGGGTGCTGATTTCTCCTGTCTGCAGGCCATATCCACTCACATAGCGCTGAGCATGGAGCACAGGTGTTGACAGATCCACTGCAACAGGGAAATCAAACAGGAGCTAGTAACACCAAAGCCCAGCTGTAACTCTGAACACAAGAATAGTGCTATCCACCCAGCAAGGAGCTGAGAGGTCAGGGGCACTCCCCTTTCACATGGTTCCTACTGCCTCCCACCTCACATGGAGCAGAAGAGGGGGCAGTTTCTGCCTCACACCCTGGCACAGAGTGGGATGCAGGAAGGGTCTCATGAATGTTGCTGCTATATGTCTCTCCCCAGCAAGAAGCATGCAGTTCTCTCCTCCTTCTCAAGGCCCACACAGTGACTACCAGCAGCAGGAGTCTGAGAATCCACATTCCAGGTTGGCATATTAAGAACTGGTTGGGCGGGGAGGAGCTGGAGTTATGCACTGTGCAGGTAAAATGAAGCCACTAGTCACTCACAGCTATCCTGGGGCCGTTTCCATTTCAGCTGCACGTTGAGGCTGCGAGACACATTAAAGAGGAAGGGGCTCAGTAAGTCATAGACTGCATAGGTTCTCCTGTCTCCTTGGACAGATGCTTCATGCACGGACAGTGGAGGTGGGGTCACCTCCAGCAGTTCATTCTCCTGCGAATATAAGCAGAGCACATAGGAGGGAAAGGCAACTCCTGCATTAACCAGTAGACAGAAAGGCAGTCCTTAGCATTCCCCCGCATGGAAGTGACTGGCCTGTACTCTGTCTAGGAATGCTCCCCCTGGAACAGGGCCAGCTCAGGACCTTCTATAACACTACTGCAGCATCTCCATTTCTGGACAGTACTATAGTAATTTTACTTTTTCAATAAATAGACATCCGCCCAAATCATAATAGGAATCCTTTCATCAAGAATCCCATCTCTTCAGGGAGCTCTGGGTGACGGCATGCCAGGGCAGTTCCATCTCTGCACTCTGGTGCGACTGGAGACAGCAGACAATGCTGCAGGGAATCCAAATTCCTTCTAACAGGATGCTATGTCAGGGTACTAGGCAGGACAATGAACAGAAAGTGTTACCTGGGTCTTACTGGAAATATCAACATAGATTTTGCTCTCAGATGCAAGAGGACAAGCTTCAGTGACAGTGCGTGAGAACATCTTAAAAAGGGACCAGTCTGGAGAAGACAGACACAAAGAGAGGTCAGCCAGGATGTGAGTGAATGAGGCTCAGTACGCCCACAGAACACAACATACTGCAGGTTATTCCAGATACCTCTCTTTCCTTGACCAATGGAGAAGGTGTCAAAGACCACGGTGAGGGTCTGTCTAAGCTCCCAAGAGACACTCAGACACGAAGCATCCTGGAGGACAAGACAAACCAGAGACTGTGTTCAACACAAACCCACCTTCTAGAAGGGTAAGACTCATCACAAGAGGGAGATGGGGCTATAAAAGGGTCATGATACACACTGCAAGGCCCAGATGGGACTCATAAGAGTGGAGAAGGACAACATACGAGTTAAATGTGCGTGGATTAGGTCCCAGCCAGCCTATTTCACAAGGGCCAGGGCAGAGCTGTTCCCTACAGTGTATTCTCCAGGGCTTTGTCTGGTACAGTTTAACAACCCAAATGATTAGGAAATGCTTCTTAGTGTTCAGTCTACATGTTCATTCATTAAAAGACCCATGAAGGGTCTTATCAACTTGTCCAGAAATGCCACCCTGCTCACCAGATTTTGGACACTAGTGATGGTACTCACCCTGCAGATAGGGCGGATATGCACTGCCTGGGAGTGGTAACTGGTGTGGAACAAACGTTCTGCCTTCAGCAAAACAGCAAGACCAGCCTACAGACAGTGAAGGAGAAAACATGATTGAATCACCAGCCACAAAGGTAACCACCAACAAGCTATCAGGCGCCTCAAACTTTCAAAGAGCCCAGCAGAGGCTTCACCGCTCACCAAGTAACCCAACTCCACCTGCTCCTACTGAGATCGGAGCGGGACTCCAATGGGAGCTATAGCGATGTAGTAACATTTGCTCTTTGGGAACCCCACTCCAAAGACTCTGACTATGACCTGATCAGGCAGTGGAAGGCCTGGGATTTGCCCTCACCTTTGAGCCGCATGGCAGCAGCTTTTTCCAAGGTGTGAGGTTCTCAGTGCAGACGACCTCCCGGGGCAAGACGGCATATCTCAGGAGATGGTGATCTGTAACTGGGATGGGGGAGTGGAGGGTTAGGAACCGGGTGTTAGTCTGACCACATGCACCAAAGCAACACTCCTCACTCCCAAAGCTGATCAGTCTCTGAAGGGGTCTAGAATCCCATGAGCTCTGTGGAAAAGGGAGGAGACCACTGCGCAGCCACTTTATCAAACAGTGGATCTGAGGGGACAGCTATGTGTATCTCCAACATATAGGAAAAAACCTTCTGGTCTAGTTTCTGGAAGAACAGCCTGCAAGCTTCCAGTCCTCTTACTTTCTACAGTTCTTTGCACAGAAGGGCCTGAATAACTTGAGGTATGGAAGCTATTCTATTCAGGTTCTTATCAGAGGGCCTTTACGTCACTGGTTCAAATCGAGCTGAGTTTGGTGGGGACTAGAAGATGCTTCATACTGCCAGTGGCCCGTATGAAGTTACTTTGACATTTCAGTCCAGTTCCTAGTGTGCAGGTATCCGCATCACAATAATCATCACAACTGGCACTAACTGACCCTCTTGTCTCAGAGAAGAGGACTGAATGAGCCAGAGCACTTAAATTCCCCCCCTTTCCCCTAAAAGTGGTCCCTTCAGGTGAGGAATGAGACCCTGGTGGGGGTGAATCTAGCCTGCCTGCTACCCATGCTGTGTATGTCCTGTGAACATAGGTGGTTTCAGTTTCTAGAGCTGTCCGATACCTCACCACTTCCAAATTCACTTAGAAGACCTATACTTAGGATGTTAGCATAACCCAAGAGTTCTCCCAGGACCTGCATCCAAACCCTGTCCTCAGTACCACAGCAACAGTGAAGTGAACCGTCAACAATCAATAAGCGTTCCCCCACAGAGCAAAGCCAGCCCTTCCATACAGGTCCTGTCTCACCATTGGCCAAACCCAGAGGTTTGAATGATGCTGTTGGAGTGACGGTGTTGGTGGAATCTATGAAGTTCAGAGAGGCACAGAATATCCCTGAGAGGATGTTACTAAGTTCTTTCCAGGCTTTATCAACACTGAATGAGAAATATAAGAGGCAACAAATTACACAACTGTCTCTCTCCCCCAAATCTATAGGGGTCTGTTTGAAATTAAAAGTTTGTAAAGTGTATTTGATAAATGAATAGATCATTACAAAGAGAGGGCTGTTAATAAATGTGTAAATATCACTACTGGAGCCTTAACCAGACAACAATAAACCAAGGGCATGGGAGACAGACAGAAATTAGGTTATTGAGCACTGACATTGGAAGGATGTCCATGAAAGTAAGCTATAGATGTGTGCTGTGAAATACCAGATTACAAGGGTATAACGGTTGGGGTGGAAAGAGGAGAAATGGAATCTTGTCAATGTACAGCCCACAAAATAATTATACTTGCTCCAATAGTGAACACAAATATTGTTTACAGAACATCACAGATGTGCACAGTACATTGCAAACACAGGGCCAGATCCTGGCACCCTTAGAATGAATAGCAACTTATTCCACACTTTCTTCTAGAAATCTATAACATTGCAAAGTCTCCCTTGTGAGTGCAGTTCTCTAACCCAAGGGAGACCACACTGCAGCCCAATCTACAGTGCAGCTAGCAGCCAGACTATAGGTGACAGCAGATGATGGAGAACTATATGTTGGGACCTATAGGGCCAAATTCACCAATAAGATAAATAGATGCAATGCATTTATTTACTGGTATTTCTATGCCCTCACCTGCCATAATATACAAGCATGCCCATTTATGCCAGCAGATGAATCACCCCACAATGTTTAGAGGCTACCGATCAGTATTAAAAACTTGAGTAACTGCAATATATCTGTCCATTGGGTGCCAGTTAGGTGTGGCCCTTGGGCTGCTGGGAAGAGGCCAATGCCACACCACTGGGTGAGTGAAGCTTGGGCATTTCCCCCAGCTGCAATACTTTTATTTTAGAATGGTTATTGTGGTACCACCCGAGACACTTACTCGGTCACAGAGTCCTGGAACCAGACCCAGAGCTCGGCCCCGGCTGGAGCTTGCAAGTAGGGTTGTCCCCAGGTCCGTGTTCGCCAGAAGCCCTGGGTGAGGGACAGGTGCAGCTCTCGCACCAAGTACTTGGAGAGGAGCTGACCCAGAGCCTTGGGGAAGAGCCTGTAGTGAGAGACTGCGGGGAGCAGAGTGAGCGGCACACCTGCAGGGCGAGGCCAGGAGGTCGTGTGCCCAGTCAGCCCGTACCACCCAGCGCCCCCACAGCCCTGCACCCAGCCGCAGCCCACCATTCATCCCGCCCCGCGGCTCCCCGGCGCGGCGCAGCCCCAGCCACTGAGGCAGGACGGTAACGGATCAGCCCCAGACCCGCCCCCCCAGGCCCCGCTCTCACCTCCCTCCCGGTGCAGCTCCGAGTCCCAGCGGGCCCGGAACTGGAAGGTGGCGGCGAGGTCCCCGGAAGGGAGCGGGCTGAGCAGCAGCTCTTCGCGCAGGCTGTCCCGGGGGGGCGCCGTCGAGCCCCCACAGCCGCCCGGAGACCCCAGCAGCAGCAGCAGCAAGAGCCCCAGCACCCCAGCAGCCCCCGCCATCCTCTGCACTGCCGCTTCCGGCCCGCTCACCCAATGGGGAGGCACTTCCGGCACAGCCTGGCGGGGGCGGGTGGAGGGGGGGATCGGGGACTTCAAGCGGGCACGGGGCGGGGCCTTCGTTCGGCCCCGCCCCAGCAGCGTCCCCGTTGCCGCGGTGACCCTGAGTTCCGCACCGCGCGTGGCGGGGTCCGGCGCGGCCGCGGGGGGCACAGGCGCGTGCCTGTCGCGGGGCGCGCGCGCGCGCCGCCGCCGCAACCCGTGGGCTTGGCCTCTGGCTCAGGGAGTTGGACCCACGTGGCTCGTCCCTTTCGCAGCCCCCTCCGCCCCCATACACAGCAACACGGGGGGTCGCTGGGAGCTCTGGTCCCGTCGCCGGGGCAGCTCCGGGGCTGCGCCGCGCCGCTCTCCGCAGCGGGGAGTCCCCGCTCTGGCCTGATCAGCCCCGGGGCCGGGCAGCCCGCTTCGTGCTGCTTGCAATGGGACATGTGCCACCGAGAACTGACAGGACCGCGGCCCGCCAACTGGCCTCCCGCAGGCCAGGGGGCAGCGGCGGAGGGGGGCCTTTGGGTCGCCTCCAACCTGCTCTGGGACTGGATCTGATGCGGTCACTGCCTTGGGTGCAGGATGCTCCTTATCCTGTTCCCTGGGGCCTGCCCCAAGCTAGCGAGTGGCCCGAACCTAGGGTCACGCTGGAACTTGTACCCTAGAGGTGAAGGCCTCTGTACCCCACTGTCTGACTGCAAAGACAACTTCTCTGGCCTGTGGAGTTGTCACCTTTCTTAGTTATGGGGTTTTTTTGGGTGGGGGAATATAAATCAACATCTGTTTTTCAAGGTGATAGAACATGGATTATCCTGGGAAAATGAGTATTTTCTGTGAACAGAGGAATTATCGTATCAGATCTAACTGGGGTCCATCTAAACCAGTGGCTTGTCTCTGATGTTGGCCTGTAGTACAGGGGTGGGCAAAATTTTTGGCCCAAGGGCCACATCCGAGCTGCAAAACTGTATGGAGGGCCGAGTAGGGAAGGCTGTGCCTCCCCAAACAGCTTGGCCCCTGCCTTCTATCTGACCCCTCCCACTTCCTGCCCCCTGATTGCCCCCCTCAGAACCTCTGACCCATCCCCCCCTGCTCCTTGTCCCCTGACCGCCCCCTCCTGGAAACACCAGCCCCTAACTGTCCCCCAGGACCCACCCTCTATCCAACCCCCCCGCTCCCTGCTTGCCCTGACCCCTGTCCACACTCCACCCCCTGACCGGCCCCCCCGGGGACTCTCACACTTATCCAACCCCCCCGTTCTCCCACCACCACCCCCCCAGAACTTCCGCCCCATCCAACCGCTCCCTGTCCTCTGAATGCCCCTCAGGACCCCGTGCCCCTTATCAAGTCCCCTGGCCCTGGCCTCCTTACCATGCCGCTCAGAGCAGCATGTTCAGCAGCTGCGCCACGCCACCTGGCCGGAGCCAGACTCGCTGCCCTGCAGGAGCTCGCAGCCCCACCGCCCAGAGCGTTGGTGGCATGGCTGTGGGGAGGGGGGGGACAGGAGCTCAAGGGCTGGGCAGGACGGTCCCGCAGGCCAGATGTGGCCCATGGACCGTAGTTTGCCCACCTCCGCTGTAATGGATACTTTAGCAGAAGTTGCTAAAAACACACAATAGACAGTTATGTAATAATTTGCCCAAAGAGGAATTTTCTTCCTAATACTGAAAGCATACATGGTGTATGCTGTGAAACAGGAAGATTTATATTATATAGACATGTTTACCTTAATATTAATCTGGATATACATCCAGCCAAGCACCTCTGAAAGCTGTGTCAGTAACTGAGGGCAGATGCCAGAGTCCATCAGTGGGAGCAGGGTGTACTGATCTCTCCACTTTGCCTTGCTTTCTTATAAAATTCTTCTACATGAACCTGATGGCATGGAAATTCCAGTTCTAGGAGTGTGTTTGGGCTTTTAGGGCCTTTGTCACTTGCTGTCTCCAACATTCTACTGCTTGCTGCTGTGGCCAATATATCTGTGGTTTAGCACTGGGATTACTTGTCTAATGAATATCCTCCAGGCACCATGTTCCTGGGTTTTGAGGTCTGTTGAAATCTGATCCTGGAGCTGTCAGTATGGATGACAGCAGGCCTGACCACTTCCCTCAGCACTGAACAGATGGAGTGATAAAGCAGATTCTGACCCTGGCGAACTTTCTCTTGTTTGAAGGGCTTGGTTAAAAGGCTTGTTAGCAGTTATTTAATTTCTTGTGGAGCTAGGAGGTTGAGTTTGTTGCACTGTGGTTGTTTTTGCTCTCTGTGCCAGTGTGAAACAACATCTCACCAGGCCTACTCTGCGAGAACAAGTTCTTATTTTCTACAGGGGCTGTGCAGGCAATCAGGTCTAATTCCTGCACTCATTTCTAATGTCTAATTACATTCCCCACTAGAGGGCAGACACGACACACATTTGAACCTGAAATTTTATTGAACCATTAACCCCAGGACTACATTGCAATCTCCTCAGAGTTAATGGATTATACCACACAGGGCAGGTTTAGCATCTCACTAAGAATAGTCTGACCTGCCTACCGGAGCACAGTGCAGCCTTTCAGCAAAGCTTTAACATATGCCAAAGAGCAGGATCTTACATTATAGGGTAGACACAGTGCAAAGAGCTAGCCGTGCAAGGGACCCCCAGTCCTGCCCTGCTTATCCTTAACTAGATATAAAAGCTACACACATCAGTTTATAGCTCAGTCTCTCAGCCAGACAAGCAACCAAGACAAAGTGCTGTTGTTTTTCCCGGTAATGTGTATGCAAAAAATCATTCCTAAAATACCACAGTCCAAACTTGTATCATTTCTGCCATTTCCAATGTCTGGGGCGTATGCTGAATTCCAGAGTTCCCAAATGTACAAAGATAATGAATAAGGCTGCGAGTCTGTCTCGTTGGTCACGGATTCCATGACTCTCTGTGACTTCTGCAGCAGCTGGTGCTGGCTCAGGGGCTTCCCAAGCCGGGCAGCCCCTAGGCCAGCAGCAGCAGTTTGGGTGTGTGTGAGGGGGGCTCAGGGCTAGAGACAGGCATTGGGAGGAGTGGGGGGTGCTTACCTTGGGGTGGGAGGGCTCCCTGGCTCCAACTGGCATGGTCCTGCAGCTCCTTGGCGATGGAAGAGCCAGGGTGCTCCACGTGCTGCCCTTGCCCACAGGTCCTGCCCCCGCAGCTCCCATTGGCTACAGTTCCTAGCCAATGGGAGCAGCACAGCCAGCGCTAGTGCTGGGAGCAGCGTGCGGAGTTCCTTGGCCCCTCCGCCACCTAGGAGCTGCAGGGACATGCGGAGCTGGGTAGGGAGCCTGCAAGCCCAACCCTCAACCCCCCCAGCACCAGCAGGGGGGTCCCAGGCTGCGCATCACTGCCCACCCCCAGCACCCACGGCGCCCCTGGACCACCCCGAGCACCAGCAGCCTCCGTCCCAAGTTTTAGTTAGGGGAATATAGTAAAAATCATGGACAGGTCACAGGCTGTGAATTTTTGTTTACTGCCCGGGACCTGTCCATGACTTTTACTAAAAATACCCATGACTAAAACGTAGCCTTAATAATGAATAGTATGATCCACACAAAATGTTCAGAGACAAGTCTCCTATGTTGGAAGTAGAAAAGGAGTACTTGTGGCACCTTAGAGGATAAGCTTTTGTGAGCTACAGCTCACTTCATCGGATGCATCCGATGAAGTGAGCTGTAGCTCATGAAAGCTTATGCTCAAATAAATCGGTTAGTCTCTAAGATGCCACAAGTACTCCTTTTCTTTTTGCGAATACAGACTAACAAGGCTGTTACTCTGAAACCTATGTTGGAAGTGCTCCCTAAGTACTGATGGGAGTGCAGGAGAAGTTCCGCTTGATCCTGCAACGTGCAGAGCACGCTGGCTCTGATCCAGTGAAACACTTACGTTTAAGGTTAAACACATGCTTGTGAGTAAGCCCATTAACTTCAATTGGCTAGCCACCTGCTTAAATGTTTATGCTTCTCTACATCAGGGCCAGAATGCTCCACACCTTGCAGGAACAAGTGCTTGCTCAGAAGCCCATATAGAATCTAGACACATGAGCGCTGTGCCAGGACTTTGTAAGAGAACGTGAGGGACTCCAGGCCTAGGAGATTGGATGGGAGCTGCAGATGCTGCACAACAGAAGGTCTTGCTCGAGAATGTTTTGAACCAAACCCAACAGCCGGAGAACACCTGCCACCATTCTGACTTGCAAAGCCACAAACAAGAACTCAATGCAGCCCCAAGCAATACCCCAAAACTCACAATGTATGCCCAGCCCTATCCCCAAACAGCTGAGGCCTGGAAGAGCACTCCTGTAATGAACATGCCAAGCTTCTCAGCACAGGAGTGGAGACTTGCAGTGCTGGAATGCTTCAGTTATGCATGAGCTAGGATAGCCAGGGGCACTGGACACAAATTCTCTGGGCTTAGGGAACTCCCTGCACCACCCTGTCCACAGACTGCTGCAAACTGGCTCTGAAATCGGGGTCCTGGGAGCAGTCCTTGCTCAGCAGTGGTCATTCACTTCTTGGATTTTTCCATGAGTTTAGCTGATTGCTAGGATTACATTTGTGCTACCCCCATCTCTCCGGAGTTGCCATTCTGCTGAGTCACTTCCTCTTTTCAGACCTTTCTTTTCCCTTTAACCTCTTTCTCTGGAGAATGCTTTGAGGCAGTATTGTGGACAGAATGTGACTCATCTGCACTGGCTTGTCATTTGATGATACCTGGGATGTAAATGCTGCAGCCAGGGTCCAACAGCATCTATTAGTATGTGTCTAGCTATTATGCAGCTCTGAGTGCCCCTGGGAAATGGCCTGGCTCTAGAGCAATACCTGGCCTCTGTTATTTATGTACCAGACTCCCTCTCCTTGAGGCTGCTCCACTTTCATCACAGCAGTGACTTTGTTTTCCCTGTTACATAGTCTCCTGGTGGCCAAAGCTTTCCCGTATTGAACAGTTGGTAGCAGTTGCACGCCTCTCTAAAATGGTGATGCAGCCGGATCTGTGTGTGGCTACGGCTATGCTCATTCCTGGGAGTAGGAAGAGGGCAAGACAAATAGCCAGCAAGGAGGAGTCAAAGTGACAATCTGTCCTTGTAAGCCAGAGCTCCAGCAGCCATGCTGGGTATTCTGCTGTGCTTAGGGGGCTAGTCTGCGGTGCTAGAAGGGTTGTACAATTCATGGGGAATTGCATTAACACACTCATGGGGTCATGTTACAGATCACAGTGCTCCCACGCCCACCAGCCCTGTGGGTTTAGTGTGGGAATCAGTACATTCTCACTGCCGTCTCAGGCTGTGTCCACTGTAAGCACAAATGCAATCAAAGCCCTTTGAAAATGCAAAGCACCATAGAAGTGCTCAGTATTATTATTGGGATGGGTTGGTGATTTGCCCCATTAACCCCCATAGTTCTCCTCAGGGGTGGGTAATGAGGACTATGCCACTTGTATTTATGTTGGGCAGAGGAATGGCCACTGGATTGGGCTGGCGCCTGGTCTGGGAATGACGTTAAGACCCTTGTTCTCCGGCGACTGAGAAATTTTGACTCATCTACCACTGAGGTCTTGTCCTTGGTAGCGTGGCTGTAATTGCTTCATCCCCTGCCTTAAGCCTGTCTCCCCTCCCTAAGGCTCTCCTTGTCCTCCTTCTGCAACCCTTTCCTAGCCAGCCTCTCATCCCCACCAAGCACTGGGCTTTCGTGGTTCTCCAATAACACACACCACCCTGACGGCTTATTTGACAGGAGTATAATTTCTCTGTAGGCTTTTGTTACACATTTGCCTTTGGGGGTCCCACTGGGACTGGGGGGGGCTGAAATCCTGCGGGGAGGCTTTGCCAGGAATGGGCACAGCTGAGGCCACGGCTCGGGTAGCAGTTCGGGTGAGTGAAGCAGGAGAGTTAGTAGCAAAGCCTGAAGAGTTAATGTCTGAAGCACTACACTACCCCTCTCTTTCTGCCCCACTCTCCTTCTCCTGTGGCTGACTGAAGAACGCGCTGGGGGAAGCCGTCTCTCCGCTCCTTGGGATGGGGAGACGGCTCGGGGTGTACTGAGCAGGAGTCAAACAACCAGCAGCCTTCCTTCCTCTCATGCTGGCAGGTCCATGCAGAGGGTGGATGAGGAGAGAGCAGGGAACCTGCTGCTAGCTTCTGGCCGCCTGCGCTTCAGGGCTGTCCTCCTGGGGCTCCTCCTCATCTGACTGCACCACGGGCGTCTCGGCCCCCTCCTCACTGGTGTCCAGGCTGTTCAGGTCTGTGGAGACGGAGGATGTGGACGAGATCCGGGATTTGATCTCGGACGCATTGGGCACTTGCAGGGTGATTTCCTCCTGGTAGTGGCTGGGCTCTGCCCAAGGAGAAAGGCAAGATTAGCAGAAAAAACACAACATGCTAGCATCTTTGCTGGCCTTGTGCCCAGCCCCCTTCACCTCCACCGTACCCCTCCGCAGGCAGGCTGTGGCTTCATCCCTTTCCCAGCCCATTGCAGGGGCTACATATGTGCAGGACGCCATTTCAGTGGAGCCAGCAACTCTGGCACACAAGGTTTCTAGGCCCTTTAGGAGGAAAGGAGATGAGGCAATGGGCTGGAACTACCCCTGTCAGGAGAGGTGAGAGTAGGAGGGATTTGGGTGGCAGTTACTGGGCTCAACATTCTTATTGTCCATTGTTGGATCATATTAAAGAAGTTTTGTATTAAAATCACAAATGAGTTTGATTCCCCAGAGTTTAAATTCCAGAGTATTACTAATTAAGAGGTCTCTTGGTTTTTGGTACTGTTTCTCTCCCTCTATGTGTGAAACTTGCAAGCTGCTAATTGTGTTAGTACATTCTAAGACAGAGTCTGTTCTCAAAGCAATTCACAGAGAGAGAGACTCAAAGCAATACTCTAACAACAGAAACAGCACCCAGAGACTCCCCGCCCTTTTGTTGTATTAACAATTGTGATTAAAATAGAGATAGAGGATGTATGTGGATGGATGCTTGGTGTGGATAATAACTGAATGATCAGGGAGGTGCCAGCCTAAGAATCCAGTGTCCATCGGCTGAAGAAGGCGTCAAGTGGAAATAACCAGAGGACCCCCCCCCCCCCAGGGCAGACTGGAATCCACCCAACAGCCTCAAGAATGGGAGAACCAAAGAACAAGATAATATCTTGGAGCCGTCAGGAATGTGCTATCTGCTGATTGATTCAGCAACAGCATGATGAAGCAATTCCCATAGACTGGCATAGGAAGAAATTCCTATAAAAATAGACTCTAAAAAGTGAGAACTTTGGGGTCTGATTCTGCAAACCAACTTCCAGGAGCATCAGATGAGCATCTGACAAGGCTCTGCTCCCTCCTCATGTCCAGGACACCTGGCCAGTGGCTTGGCATGAGCAACTCTAAGGCTGGTAACTATGATAACAACCTTGCAGAACCTGTGTGTGTCTGTTTGTATGAATGAATGTGTGAATAAATATGAGATTGAATGGAATGTTATAACTATAACTAACTGCTTACTATGATTCTTTCTGTATTCACAATAAATGTGGTATTTTGCCTTTTTCCCTTTAATAAGATCCTGCTGGTTTTTATTTTATTGGTACAACACCATGAGCCGAGAGACATGAGCTGGCCATAAGCAGGACTGAGCTGCAGACCCACTGACCTCCAGGACAAGCTGAGCTACCGGTCCCCTAGTCCAACTTTGATCCCCAGCACGAGCCAGGCTACTGCTGGAGCCCGGTCTCCTTCCCCAGTCCCAGACTTTGGCAGCAGGGCATGTGCCTCACATTCCTTCTCCATTTTTGGCAGTGGAGCCTTTTCTGTCTCGCTTGTAAAATTCCAGCTTGGGGCCTTCACGTGTGAGGATGTTTAACTGAAACAGAGAAGAATCTGCCGCTAAATGGCTTGACTCATTCTCAGAGTGACTCATACTCAGAGTCACTGCAAGGAGTGCAGCATGGGGTGATCAGGCTCCTGATTACTCCTCCTCCCCCATTTGGGTTCCCCTCCCCAGGCAATGAGCTCAACACAGGGTAACTGGGTCTGCCTGGCTCCCCACTCCCCATGTGGGGAGCTCCAGCCTAGGGCCACCACGGTGCTGACACCGCCCCCAACAGGGAACTCAATGCAAGACAGTCAGGGTCTTGGCACCCCCCACACTTTGTGCAGAGAGCTCAGCATGGGCAATCAGGACCCAGGGGAAAGTGAGTGTGGTGAGGAGTGTGGCAGGGTGTGACGGGTAGGGGCTGCTCTAGAGCAGTTTGGGGGGACAAGAATTCAGTCCTACAAACCCTAAAAAGCTAAGACTGCACATCAGCCCTGGAAAATCGCGGATCCATAATTCTCTGCTCCCAGCAATGGTGGCTGTAGTGTAGACAGGGGACAGGTGTTTGTACAACAGCATCCTTCCCTAAGATTAGATGTCATGATGCTGAAAATGCCTGTGCCCTTTCTGCAGGGCAGCCTCCATTGGCCGTATCGCCAATGGAGCTGCATTAGCAGAGCCGTGCTGGTGTGAACTTTTCCAACCCCACAGGCCCAAGCCCCAAGTTTGTTGCCCTTTAGGACTGGAGAGAGTCACAGCAGGGCTTGGACTGGATTGAAGAACTGACCAGCTGGCGTGAAGGTTGCGGGGACAGCAGGGAGCTAACAGGGAGGGTTGCGTATGTACCTGGCAGGAGACCGGCAACATTGTTATCCTCTGTCCCACAGCTGAGAAACACGTCCATGGTGTCCTGGTCAGAAAGGTCCATCATGTCCATCTGCTCCAGCATGTCCACATTCACCTCCATGGAGGAAATGCTGCCCAGCGGAGCTGCAGAGACATGGGCCAGAAAACCAGGGAGGGCCATCACTAATGCCAGCCAGATGAGAACCTATTAGCCCTGGACCAGCAGAACTGAGAAAGCGATGCCAGGGGAAGCCAGCATGTGGGACTAGCCTACTGGCTTGTTTATAGTGTGAGTTCTTCAGGGACCTTATCTTTATATCTTTATGGCGTGTTCGGGGCTCATTAAATAACAGGTCATCCCCTCCATACTGCCTTCCATCCCCTTCTGTGTGTGACAAACGTCTCCCCCTAGCCCCAGGTGGGCGGCACTTACGTCTTCTGTGCTCTATCTGAAGGTGGGACATGGGGAAGAAGAAATCCACATCATGCTGGAAAACCTCCTCAAAGAACTTCTGCCTGTCACGTAATTTGAGCTGCTGCTGCATCTGCTCTGGCTCCAGTCCCCGCTGCCCATGCTCCATGTCAGCTGTAGAGGAACAAGATGGAAGATCAGGCACAGGCTAGATGCAGTCAGATGGGGCATGGGAGATCAGCCAAGGCCAAGAAGGGCTGCATAAGTCCGCCCTATTCCTTCTGTCAGTGTCCTGCAGGACAGGTATTTCTCTCCTGCTCTACTTTACCTGTGGGGGTGCATTGTGATTTAGTAGCAATGGAAGAGGCATTACAAGCCATCGAGCTTGCTCCAGCAGTGCAGTCTGTGCTGGGGGCCACTGCTACTGACTCCTCTCCTGTGATCCAGCCCAGCCTGGTGTCCACAGCTGCAATGATCGTCCCCTGCTTTGGGCTTTACCACCTTTCTCCCACGGTTCTCAAAGCACTCTACAAACTTTAACGCTCACCCCCTCTGTGAGAGGGGCTTAGTGTTCTGTTATCCCCACTTTCCAGAGAGGGAAACTGAGGCACAGAAAGCAGAAGTGACTTACCCAGGGTCGCCCAGTATTAGAGCCAGGAATAGAACCAGGTCCTCCTGAATCATAGACCTCTGCTCTAGCCACTATTCACTGGTTCTCAAACTGTGGGTCGGGACCCCGAAGTGGGTCGCAACCCCATTTTAATGGGGTCGCCAGGGCCAGCATTAGACTTGCTGAGTCCCAGAGTTTGGGCTCCAGCCCACTGTCCCTGCCACCCAGGGCAGTGCGGCTCAGGCTCCAGCCCCCTCTCTTCCCCCACCTGGGGCAACAGGGCTCAGACTCCGGCCCTCCACCCCCGGGGTCATGTAGTAATTTTGTTGTCAGAAAGGGGTCGCGGTACAATGGAGTTTAAGAACCCCTGCACTAGATGACACTCCTGCCTTTCTTGGCGAGAAGAAATATGGCATCCCGGATGTTGAACATTCAGGACTGTGTAACCAGAGAGCTCAGGTGTGTGTGATATGGGGTAGTCTCAGCTCCAGCCTGTCACACACTGGTCTTCCTGCTGCCTAACAAAGGCTTAACCAGAGAGTTGCCTTTGAATATTAATACAGCAGAAATTCTCCCAGGAACAGGAACTGACCCTGAGTGCCAGGGATACTGGACTGAGAAAGGTGACAGTAATAAAATGGCATTAACACCCCCACCTCCCACCTGCAAACACTCCCCTCCATACACCAGTCTATAATCCCAGTCCCCACCCCCCTCACCACACACACACACAAACAGGCTCCTCCATTCGCCCCACTCCCCTTCATACACAGCCAGCCTGGATCTTTGCATTTGCCTTTCTTTCATCCCTCCCACGGTTTAACTCTGCTCCCAAGAGCAATGAGGAGCCACTGAGGGAAGAAGGCTGAGCCCTCCACAGGGAACAAGGCGATGGAGGGCCAGTTCCTCCTAAGCACAGCAGGGCCTGTCTCTGTCCCTCCTGCTTTAGGAACCCAGAGGAGCAAAGAACCAGCAGCCCTTCCAGCTTGGCCAATTGGTTTCCTGGGCCCAGAACCACTAAGGTGTTTGAGTTCAATGGAATTTAGGAGCCTAAATACCTTTGAGGAACTGGGCCTTGCTGGTGTATCCCAGCAGCTGCCTGGATGCTCCCAGACTGGAGTCTCATTCCAGGGTTCGTCTCTGCTGCTCTTGGCCAGGCAAGGAAAATGTGACAACCCAGCCGGGCAGGGCAGAAACCAAGGAAACCAAACAAACATCCTAGCCTGTCCCCAGACATCCTAGCACTGACCAAACCCACCTCCTGCTGCTGGAACAAGGGGCGGGAGGATCCCAGCAAAGGGCAGCAATCGCCTGGGATCCCCACCCTGCCTGGAAGGGGCCGTGTCTGTATCAGGACCAGAATGTTATAACATAGGACCCCAGAGGAAACAAACTTCTTCTTCCTTCCCCTCCCACCCCTCAACACCTGCCCCAGGGAAACCCCTCAGGGCTAAACTCCCTGCCCAGACACCTGCCCCAGGGAAACCCAGCAGGGCTAAACTCCTCCATCTGAAATATACCAAACAGGAACCAGCTGCCAATGCTGTGTGACTTATGGCTCCTGGTGACCTGCACACTTCCCCTGGGATTCTGTATTCATTTCTGGTTCTGCTTGTCCCATAACTGCTGGGCCCATTTCCAGGCTCCAACCTGCCTGGCATAAGTTCTGGTTCCAAGATGCCCAGCCCAGATCTAGGCCTTCCCACTTACTGCAACCAGAGAGCTCAGTGCAAGCCCCTGCTGCTGTCTGTCTCCTTGTCCATTGCCAAGGGCTGGGTTGGCAAGGTGCCCATGCAGCCAGGATCTCACACACTTTGCCAAAAGACTAAACCCCATGTTGAAAGCACCTTAACAACATGTCGAGATTAAGCCCATTTTACTTTCCTTGCTGGTCTCACCATCTGCTGCTGCACTGGCAGGAGCTCATTCTCCTCCTTATCCTGGTGCAGGGCCACACAGAATCCAAGCCCCCACCCCTTCGCCCCCACACATACTCGCTAATCCATTGGCAACTCCAGAGCTGTGTCAGAGAAAGTCTGGGAGGCAGAGAAGGGCTGGGGGAACAGCTACGGCACAGAGGAAGGGAGGAGACTGGGGTGGTCTAATTACAAAGCTCTGGGCTGCACAAAGAACAGGTTAACCCTGAAGGATTAGCATTGAGGTAACTCTGGGTCCCTTTGGCAGCCCCTGCAAGGTAGCTAATGACTAAGGCTACAATTTAGTTATGGAGGCCACGGCAGTCATGGATTCCGTGACTTTCCCGGACTTCCATAATGTCTAGGGCTTCAGGAAGCGGGACTGAGCACCCCTGCCCTAAAACTGGGGCTGGCTGGAACCAGGACCCTGCAGCCCCAGCCCCGCAGCTTCCCCGGGAGGCTGCAGCCAGAGATGCATGCCTCACCTCTGTGGGCTTGGCTGGGGCTGCAGGTGGGGCCATGCGCCCAAACCCTGTGGTGTTCTGGACTTGGCAGGGGCTGCAGCCGGGGGCAGTGCGTCCCCCTCGCAGCTTCCCAGGGCCATGTGCCACCCCCAGCTGCAGCTGAGGCTTGGTGGGAGCTGCAACCAGGGCCACGCACCCCTGTCCCACAGCTGTGACCAGCTTGCGGGGGGCTTGGCCTGTCAGTCCCCCCACATGGGACTTCAGTCTTCCCCCCTACCTAGCCCTGCCCCCAGGTTATTTTTAGTAAAGTCACGGACAGGTCACCGGCTCCGTGAATTTTTGTTTATTGCCTGTGAGCTGTCCGTGACTTTTACTAAAAATAACCATGATCAAATCTTAGCCTTACTAATGACACAGCCCAGCTGCATGGAGCCTGCCCTATTGTGCTTTCCCACCAGGGCAGAGTCACCAGCCTCCCACTGCTCCAGGAAAGCTGCAGCTATAGCATTGTTGGAATCCATGGCTAAGAGGCTGGGTCATCCAGTGGCTTGTCACAATTTTCCCAGGGAAAGTGGCCAGCAAATTCAAGTACCAACAATATGGAGTGGAGAAGTCAAGGTTCAGGTACTGGGGGCGTTAAGCAGCTATAGTGAAACCCCTGAGAGCTGGGGACGCTTTGGAGAAGGTGATCTGGAAGTTCTTGCACATCACACTTCATCCCAAGGTCCCTCATTCCCCATATCCTTGGCATCAACAGCGTCCACAACCACAGGCTGGTTTCTATTTCATCGCTTTGTGCTGCGAATTCCAAAACCACAGCATGACTCTTACTATGTGTTTGTACAGTGCCTAGCACAGCAGGGCCTGTCCTCAGTCAGGGTCCCTAGATACTATTGCACTATCAATATGAACCGAAGAGATCAAAAACACTGCCGTTTGGGGGCCCAAAAGCCAATGCGTTACAACTTCACTTTCCAGCAGAGCAACAAGCACCATGTGATCTACTCGGTGCACCTATTCCAGTGGAACAGGGGACACAGTGGAAACAGGGACACGCTGACCCCAGTCACTCTAGTGTTGGAGGAAAGCACAGTGCCCTGGGTTCCCTTTGATTTGAACCCTGTCTGTAGAGGTGAGCTTCCAACCTTTGCCGGAAGAAGGCACTGTCTGTATGGGGCGGGGAATGCGCAGCTATTCCAGTCTCAGCCCCTCTCTCCAAGAACATTGCAGGATAAAGGATAAGGCCATCCTAAGAGTTTGCAATTTTCTACACTGTTAATGCACACGTCATACATCTCTCTCCCAAAACATGAGAATTACAACCCTGGGATGTTCCAGGCCCCCAGGAGGAGATGCAGGGAGGTGGCATGGGCTGGTACACTATCATTTGGTGCTGGTGTGTTACTCTCACTCACGGGTTGTGCTAGAGCCTCAATGGGGAAGATGTGCCTAGATGTATTAGCAAACTTGTCTGTAAATTCCTTGGCAAGCTTTTCTTAGCCAGCTAGGCAGCCGGCACTGAAATACCATTATATAACTAAGGCAGGCATCAAGCAAGATGTGCAGCGGGGTGACTGACTGGTGACTACAGTGAGAAACTGAGATGGAGCCTTCTTCCCACTCCCTCATCTCAGCTCCCTCTCTCCCCTCCCCTTCGCTCTGTTCCTGTATCTCAGGCACTCTAGGAGGTCAAGAGCTCTGCTCATGTATTTACAGCTAAATAACCACCATGGAGGAAATAAAAGAGAGTAACATTCCCTGTCTCTGCCCTTCGCCATGTGACTGATGGTCACATTCTCCTCGCTGTCAGTTGCTGTGATTGTCTCATCGGGATGGCATGTTCCCAGCAAGTGACACACACACTCACACAATGCAGCCCCTGTGCGCTGCAGGGAATTCATTCTGAGGTTTAAATACCTGCTGGTGGTCTTTCTTACAAGGCACTCAACCAATGGGCTGAGGCTTATGCACATTCGCAGCTGGGACACAGCACTGCCTTTCCTGGATCGCTGACCCCCCAACACATCAGGTTGTCACTTCCCAAGAGTGTGAAATAGCACCAGGCTCCCTGCTGCCTTCAAATCCTTCCGGCTCTTGCTGCTCATTAGGCACCAAAGCCTACAGAAGAACTGGACCTGAATGCAAGTGTGGGGACTGAAGGAAGAGGAGCCAGCCTACTACAGGCCCATGAGAAGGAAACATATATGGGGATTTCCTTCTACTGCCATTGCTCAGTTTCTTCTGTCCCAGCCTCTCCCAGCAGCAGGAAGCAATGTAAGGAGCCAGGGGAGGTGTTCTGTTTCCAGAGACTCTAGTGCCACCCTGCCTTAGCAAGAGGTACTAAAAGAAACAGGGTAGATTTGCTGGCTGGGTTGCACAGCTGGGATTCTCTGTCTCTCAGCATGAGACCCTGTAGGGTGACTGCAGGAAGGCCAGACATGGAAGGTGCTCATAGCTCCTCTATTCCCCATCTTCCTGCAGGAAGCATAACAGTGAACGGCGCAGGAGTGCCAGCCGCAAGGAGCTCCCAGCTATTCCACACCAGCAGGGAATGGTGCCGAGCGCTGGCTGTGAGTCGCTCCCAGCAACTGAGGGTGACATGAGCCCTGGGGGTGATATGGCTGAATGGATTCTTTGGGACACAGTGAGATCTTTTCATTGATTTCTTGGGCTCAGCGCTGAGCACACGGCAGCTTGTCTGGCCGTGTTTCCGCTGGGAGTGGACATGTTTGTCATTTTCCATTGTCCTGCTGGATCCTAGTACAAACCCCACTCTGTGCACCAGGCAGTATGAATGGCCGGAGGGGGGGGGGCGGGCTGGCTTGTTAAAGGAGGCACAATCCAAGAGGAGATGGAGAGAGGGTTTTCTTTAATTGATGTCTCTTTAAATCCCTTGAAAACTCCCCAAGAGATTAAAGAAACAGAGTAAGCCATTAATGGGGTACGGACAGGGGGAAAGGGGAGGTTAACAGAGTATAAATGAGGGAAGGGGGTACACTCTGCAGGGTGTGGATCATTTCTCTAGGGAACAACTCCAAGGAGCACAGCTTCACACCCGATCTGGCCATGCCATGCCTGGGCATTCCCTCAAAAGCATCACCCCAGGTCCTGTGAACCGGAACAGGGACACACTGACCCGGTTCACACTAGTGGTGGAGGAAATCACAGTACCCTGGGCTCCCTTTGATTGGAGTCCTATCTATAGAGGTGAACTCCCAACCCCTGCCAGAAGGGGGCATTACAGTGAACAGGTCGGGTCAGTGACGGTGTGGGGAGCTCGCAGCTACTCCACTCTCAGCCCCTCTCAGCAAGAACATTGTAGGATAAAGGGTAAAACCACCCTAAGAATTTGCAACTTCCTTCAGTCTTGGGGAGAGGCAGCTAGAGCAGAACCCTTGCAATGACCTAGAAGAGGCCAGTGGCAATGAGCTGACCATAAACTGGATGACTGGAACCTGCCGAATGCTCCTGTACAAACTCTCTGCGCAGCCTCCCTCTCAGATTCTGATTGCAGCAAAAGGAAAAACTTAAACCCAAACCTGCTGGGTGAGAGGGAGTGCACAGGAGGCGGGGAGAGGGAGGGAAGTGGTTTTAGCAGAGACAGAGCAGGAAAAAACAGGAGGGCGGAGAGCAAGAGTGTCAGTAGGGTGAGGAGGTGGCACCTTGTGATCCTGGTTTCTGACATGGATTCTTCGTGAATGGTATTCCAGCCAATCTTCAACTCCTCCGTGACTCCACACTAAAAATATCCCCACAGCCCAGAGCTCTCTCCCTAGGAGAGTCCGCGTCACAAGACCCTGCTATTTACAGGGCCTGATTCACTTGACATAGAACCCTGAGCAGGATAAAGCCAGGAGAGCATTAGGGAGGATAAGAGGAGGTGGGGAGGCTCATAAGCCACACAGGGGATGTCTACATAGCCCATGGCAGCGAACCTCCCCGCCCAGGTCGACAGACTCGGGCTACAGGAGCTTCCGGTAGCGCTCTACAATAGCGGTGTAGACAGCGCTGTGAAGTTGGAGCTCGGGCTCTGAAGCCTAGGGATGGGGGTGGGCTTTACAGCCCGAGCTCCAGCCCAAGCCACAACTTCAAAGCGCTGCCCACACAGCTATTTTTAGAGCGCTAAGGTGAGTCCTGCTATTCTGCGTCTGTTGACCCGGGCTGGGAGGCTCGCTGCTGCGCGCTGCGTGGGCAGGCAGCCTGGGCACCATGTTCTGCCCCACACACTGGAGCTCTTCCAAGTCCTGCAGAGAGACTCCTTAAAGGAGCTGGGATACCACCCCGTCTCTCCTCCCTAGCTTGGCCTGGAGCTGGCCTGACTGTGCAGAGACCTTCACTGACCCGCTGTCTGCTCGGCTCCATGGAGCTTCTCTATCCGGGACACTTGCTGCTTCAGGGGTTTGCTCTTGTCCTTAGGTTCCACAGGTGACAAGAAGAGATTTGCCGTTCCGGATCAGACAACGGTCCAGCCAGTCCTGGGCCCAGCTTCTGGGAAAGGCCAGTGCCTGGTGCTTCACAGGAAAGCAGCCTGCACCCCCACCAAAAGGAATGCCCCCAGCTGAGGGCACAGAGCTATCCATGCCAGGATAGGGCCAGCCCTTCCTGCCACTCAGCAGCTTGAGAGATCATAGAATATCACAGTTGGAAGGGACCCCAGGAGGTCATCTAGTCCAACGCCCTGCTCAAAGCAGGACCCATCCCCAATTTTTGCCCCAGTTCCCTAAATCGCCCCCTCAAGGATTGAACTCACAACGCTGAGTTTAGCAGGCCAATGCTCAAACCACTGAGTTATTCCTCCCCCGGATGTGACTGCCTGGATCTCAGCATGTAGAACTACTAATGATATTACAACGGATGGAAGGATGAAAAGGATGGAGGCGCCAATCACCATGGGGCGTAAGGGCAGAGAGACTTCAGGGGAGGCTGGTGCATGGTGACTGCGAGATGGAGGCAGGGGGGTTGGTGGCTGTGCAGAGGTGAGCAGCCAGGAAATAGGGATTGTAGAGCTGAGGGCTTTGGTGAGGGAGCTGCTGCTTGGTCGGGTGGAGAGGTGCACTGCATGGGGAGGGGACGGAGAGGAGCTGGTGGGCGGGTTGTTTGGGGTGCATGGAGGGCCGTGGGAGGGTGCTGGTAGAAGGGCGTGGGGTTAGTGAAGGGATGTGGGAAGGCGCTGGCGGAAGAGCCCTGTGGGGTGTGTGGAGGGATGTGGGAGGGCACTGGAGTATGGGCTGAATTGTCTGGGGAAGGACAGAGAAGGGCTATGCCCGTGGGAGGAGAGGGCTGCAGTGTCCATGGGACCAGTGGTGGGCGGTGCTCTGCCTGGTGCCTGTTGAGAGCACGCTTGGTGGCTGCTGCCTGTGGAGTCTATGCTGCTATAGCCGGGGCCAGAGCTAAAGAATTCACTAAAAAGGGAAAGGGTTCAGAGAGTCGTGTGCCGGGGGCAAGGCCTGGGGCAGCACAGCCCCACTGGGCTAGCACTTCCACACGGACAAAAGCCCAACTCCCCCCGCCAGCCCAAGACACACGGCTCTCTCCCTTACCCTCTCAGTCAGTTCCCTCCGGTACATGGGCACGCACGGGCACACCCAGAGGGGACTGACTGACAGAACGCAGGGAGGCGGCTAGACAACACGGCTATCTGGCTGAGCAGCAATCGCTCATGTTTGACTAAATTTACAGAGCAAACATTTGGCTGAGAGAGACGCACACAGTGCAAGGCTGATCCAGGTGTGGCTGAGTGGGGGTGCAACGTAAGTGTGTGAGAGAAGGAGCAAGTGGGTGTAGGGGAAAGTTGTGTGAAACAGACGGGAAGTGTGTGTGAGTCACGGGTGGGGTGACGGCCACTGCCAGTGCCCATGATATATGACACTTTGGGGATGGGGGTGAATCAGCCGCTTTCTGTACAATAGTCAGGATTGTTCTGGGCTGTTGACCGCTACAAGATAATTGTGAATCCCTAAACTCCGTGTTTTAAGTGGCCTGGAAAAAGCCCAGCTGTTTAGGACAATCCCAGCTGCGATAAATGTTCCTGCACTGGTAGGGCAGCACTTGCACCCTTAGTGATCCCACTCAGTTTTAATTTTTTTTTTGCCAGGACTGTGACCCGTGGCGACCCTGCCCACTTTAAGTCCCCCTGAGCTGGGCCCGCGTAAGAGCTGCAGTGCAGCAGTGTGCCCCCCTCCTGCGGGAGGCTGCCCAGGCAGGAGGCAGCTGCTGTCTGTGCGCGTGGGTGAGCGGGCACTGGCCTCCGGCTGGCGGTGCTGACTGTGCCCGGGGTGCCGCTGGGAGACAGGGGGCTGGTCCAAGCCCCGCTCAGTGCAGCGGGCATCAGGAGCGTGCCCTCAGCCTCACGTGGGTCTCAACACCGGGGCGCTGTCCGGGCCAGGGAGGGTCCCTGCGGCGGGGAGCGTTAGAGGCCTGGAGCAGCGTTGCACGGGAGGGGAAGAGGGCGCCTCCTGCCCGGTCCTGCACGTCCCTCCGCGCCTGCTCCCGGACAGTCAGCGGCAGGGTGATCCCACCCACCGAGCCGGGGGGACCCTCGCTGGGAAGCCACCGGACAAATAACCCACCCCCGCACCAGCCTTCCCGAGACGGGACTTACAGGGCAGCCTCCTGCTCTGGCTGTGAGCTCCGGGTCCGGACATGGCCAGCAGCGGGCGGGCGGGCGGGCGCTGTCTGCTGCAGGCAGCCCAGGGCGCGCTCAGGGCTGGGCGGGTGCAGGCTGCTCATCCCCCCAGGCAGGGCAGGCAGCGCTCCAGCGGGGCTGGCCCGGCCGAGAGTGCAACTGGGGCTGCCTACCGGGCCGGGCTGGCTGGGGCTCGGCGGACTGTACCAACTGCGTGATCCGCAAAGGGGGTGGGAGTGCGGCTCGCACGGGCTGCGGGCTCCCGCTGGCTGTACCAAAGCCAGGCGCTGGAGCCTGGGGCGGGGGCTGCCTGCCAGGGAGCGCGCGGGCAATCGCCTGTGGCTGCAGGAGCAGCGGGGCGGGAAAGGGAGCAGGAGATGCTGAGGTCCCCGTTAGGGCGGCTGGGAAGCAGGTGCAGGCGGGACCCAAGACAGCAGCCTGCACCCTGCACCGGGCTGGAAGGGGGGTGTCTATGGCGAGCTTCTCAGCTCTGACCCTGCAAACCCTCTGCCCCCTTCCAGGCACTGCAGCGCTGGCAGGCTGGCCCTGTTTGCACAGGATGGGTTCTGGCCAGGGACACAGTGTCACCCTGAGCTGAGTGGCTCTGGCAGGCACTGGGGAACCCTGCAGTAAGGGGGCACCGTGAACCATGGCACTGGGAGTGGGGGGAGGACAGGTGACCTGCCCGGGAGACCCAGGGGAAGCAAGTCAGGGCCCTTTTCTCACCCCTCCCTGGGCCGCAGCATGGAGCTGGGGTTGCACTCAGCACTGCAGCCTGAGGCCTGCCAGCAAAGGGAGCCAAAGCAGTGACACCAGCTGGGAAAAGCCAGCATCCTTGCTGCACTTATGGCAGAAGGGGGTGGGGGGAGGATAGGATATCAGCTTCCCTCCATCCCAGTGCAACAGGCTGCAATTGCTGTGGAGAGAGCTCATATATACAGAGCACAAGAACTGGCGCATCTGGAAAACTGCCTCTCCCTGCCTACTTGGTGCTAATGTTAATAATTAATGTCTTATGCTTCTCTATATGCACTGCACATATGATCATCAAGCAGGCAATGGGCTGCAGACTCCATTCTTATCATAACTGATTCCCTGCGTCTCCAGTACACAGATTCCCTTAGAGGCCTCTGTCAGCCTCATATCCAGCATGTTTTCCTCATTAGCTCTTTGGCTATCACTGAAACATGCTGGGCTTGATTCTACTCCTAATGGAGTCAATGGCAGAGCTCTCAGGAGCAGGGCCTCTATTTACTTCCTCCGTCTCCACAGAGTGACTCAGTCCCTCCGTAGTGCCAGTCCCTGCTCTGGACAGACAGGATCTGCTCACAGCCAGGATTCACAACTCCTCAGAGCATGATTTGCTCCCCTTCCTCTGCATGAAAGGGAGTTTCCCACAACCAGTGTCAGTCCCACCCAGCCAACTGCCTCAGAGGGTTTGCATCACCACATTATCAGACAAGTGGAGAGGTTGGACTTGTCTGCATCAGCTGTTCCTGACTTGGACACTGTTGCTTTGCTGCCCTCCTGACTTTGGCCCCTTGACATGGTAGTTGTAACAGAAACCCCTTGCCACCAATGGTAGTTAACCTGCTATGTTAGGAGGCTGGTTTGAGGGAGGGAGATGATTCACAGCTCATGCATGGAGGTTTATTTGTGCAGATCTGATGCCACTGGTTCCATCTGATGCAAGTTAAATTAATTCTGAGGTTTCAGTTTAGCCCACATGATTATTTATCCACATCCAAAACCCACCCCAGAGTTCCACATGACTATTTCTGTCCATAGCCTGGGGTCCAGATTAAAGAGCATTGGTAGGGGCACAGGACTGGAAGAGCAGAGGGACTGCAGGTCAATATTATGGGGTCCCAGTAGAGTGTTTGTGAGGGGCTCAAGGTTAGAATAACAGGGCCACTGCCGATCTGGATTGAGGTATATTGGTAATGTACAAAAACCTCTTGCACTGCCCCTATCAGTATTATGAGGGGTTTTAGCCAGTAGTATCACTTCCTCAAATTCCTGTCCCACACCTTCCTTTCTGATCTCCCTGATATACACTCTCAGCTATGGGAGCTAGAGGCCAGGGCCAGGGCCTCAGACCAGATCTCTGCTATAGTACATCTCTTTTTCTAAATTGGCACCAGTCACTAACGTGAGATTTAAGGCCAGATTCTGCTACCCTGATTCACAGTGAGTAGTCCCTTAGTCTGAGTAGTCCTGTTGATTTTCATTAGAGCTAATTGAAGACTAAGATACTACTCAGTGGGAATACCAGAGGCATAATCTGGCAAATAATAAATAACAACACAACAAACATGCACCCCTCTGCTGTCTCACTCTTTACTGTTTCCATGGCAAAGAGTATCTTAATTCTTAGAATTAAGCAACATCGCCCCCTGCATGTAGCATACATTGAAGCATCCTGGCATTTTACCATAGGGTCCCACTGCCTGTTGAGTATCAGTTTTACTCAAATTAAGTTAATGTAACCCAGCCCTGTAAGTTCCATCTTGGTCCCCTCTGCTCTTGGCCATGAATGCCTGGCCTGGGGAGAAAGGAGAGAGGCAGAGGTGGAATCGCGCTACACAGCAATCCATCAGGAATGGACACAAGGGGCCAACAGCATGTAGCCCTGCTCAGGTGGAATCTTACTTCTCTCTGACAGATACCTGAAGGGCCTGGCTCTTTTCTTTACACCAGCATCACTTGCGGGGCCAATCAAATCTCCTTGAATTGAACTGTCTCTCTCCAGGTCATCACAGTAACTAGTGCCCAGAATTACTAAGATGACATCATAGTCACAGGTCAGCTGCGAGCCCTCATTGCAAACCTAGGGGGAAAATGGCTCTTCCATCACCATGGCACAAAGTTCAGTTCCTGCCAGAGCTCCTGAGGCAAGCTGGTAATCTGAGCACTCTGATCATCAGAATAAAATGCAACGTGACTTGTTCCTCCTGCATTTCCTGCTCAGGTTTCTTTCTTCTATTATAGATTTGCAGAAAACAGGAGGTTACTCAGGTCCCTGACCACTGGGACAGGGTGGGAGGATTATGGAATAAATCAGCTGCCAAGTGAAAGGTGAACAAGCCCCAGCCAGGCACTGAATCATAAAGCAGTGAAAATAGATCTTATTCTTTACAAGCACCATGTGTAAGAGGCTGTACGTGAGATGCGGCTTGATTTGTTCAGTAAGTTGCAGGAGTAAAGATGGAAATTGGCTTTTTGCCATGGACGTCCAGGGTTTCTTTCCTAACAAATTACAGCTGAGCCAGAGTGCAGCCCATCCAGGCTGAAATGCCATCTCTGATCCCTGCAATCTTGCAGTTCCCTTAAAGGGAGATTTTGGTCCAGGATAGATGGGATCCTGAACAGCTCCCATCTATTGAAGAAATATGGCTGCTGTGGAAGTGAACGTGTCTCACGTGGAGCTAGGAAGCTTGGAGGAGAAGCACAGAGACAATGGCAGGGCTGGAGATGGTGGATGATTCCAGGTCCATTAATGCGGCTTCTGAGGCAATGTCAGTGATGTGATGGGAAGTTATACAATGGGGTAAATTAGGCTGTCTCCTGTTTATGCTGCTTCATTAGATGGATGCACCACTCTGACCTGTTCAAACCCCAATGCAAGTCTCCTGCTAAAGTTTCAGAGCAGTTAGCTCCTGTCTTGGGGCAGGTGATAATCACTGCACAGATACATCACTGGCCTAGTTAGTGTTTGCCAGAACTGAGGAGGAGGCTCATAGCAGGAAGTAGCATCTTTATTGTCTTCCCCCCCACCCCTCTCTTCTGCTGGCAGCAAAATGTGCCTAAAGCGTAGATGTTTTGGGACTCAGCTAACAGAAAGTTGTTGAACTAGGCATCTCAACTGCCCCTGAAATGCTGTCCCATGCATCTCCGCCAAGGAGCCACCTCGCACTCCACAGTTAACATCTGCCCCTGGTGGGTGTGAAGTGGAGAAAGGGAAATGTTTTTACCCTCGTGAGAACTTTGTTTTCTATGACTCTGACCAGCTGCTTTATTTGGGGTCCAAACAGTAAGGAATACGGCCACCAGAGCAAAGGACACTTTGACTAGTCAGTAGAGCTCTGCAGAGAACGGAAATTCCGTTTCATGGAGGATTTTGAGATTTCTAATTTTTTTTTTCTGAACAAAATTTGAAATCCTCTGCAAAAGAGAATTCCAAAACAGTTTCATTTCAAATCAAAATGTTTCATTTTGACTTTATTTTATAGTATGACAATAATTCTAATATAGAATATAAAACAAATTAAAAAAATTAAAAGGAAAGGTTATTTCAAAAAGAAAAATCAAAATGTTTCATTCTGAAAATGTTGAAGTGGGAGTGTTTCAACACTATCTGAACTATTTCCCTCTCCCCCCCCCCACCCATTTTATTTTCCTAAATGAAATTTCAGCAAAATCAAAACAATTTCATGAAGCGTTTCATTTTTGCTGGAATTGCATTTTCAGCTGGAAAACTGTTCCAGCCAGGTTCTTCTTACCTGCTCTACTTGTCAAGTTTTCCCCACCATCACCTGGCCATAGCCCACATCCCTCAAACCAGAGGCCATTCTGTCTGGTCTAACTGTACTCCTAAGTCACTTGGATACATCTGAAAATGCCCTCCACCCCCAATGATAAGTCTTCCTTACTGCTGGATTTCCCATCTTGTGTGTGTCTTTTAGGCTTGGGGCAGGAACTGTCTCTATATTAGGGTGTTGGTACAATGCTAAGCCCACTGTTGGTGTTAAACAAATAAATCAAGGCTAATGACTAGCCAGAGCCCTGACATTCAGGAGCTTTTATTTCCCCCTTGTTTTCACATCAGCATGAACATTCAGTTCACATTTTTAAAGTGTGAATTCAGCACCAACTACCCCAGGATGGGTGTAATCTTTGTTCTGCATGAATGGCCCACAGGGGTAAGAAATGAGTTCTGTGTCCATGGCCCCTTCACACCTTAGCCTCTCCTCTGCTGAGAGCACCAGCCTATGCCATAGTGGAGGATGGATTTTGTGATGCAGGCAGCTGCCCAGAGCCACCAAGTCCCTTCACTCAGGGGCCATCATCAACCACCAGATGGCAGTGACTTCTCAGAGCTAGCGAGGAACTGATGGTCTATACAAAAAGGGCTGATTTCCTCAATCCCTGAGCCACCTAGTCCATCTCAGTTAAACACATTATTACTGT